AGTTCAGTGGCTTGCTGGCTGGAAGCCTGCTTCTGTGGGTGACAGTACCACAAAAGACAGAATGTGAGGATTTAGATAGGCCTGGGGGTCGGCATCTTTGATTTCGGCTGAAGGATGTAAGGCCTAGAGTCAGAACTGGAAACGATGGGTGGTTTCATATAATTAACAAAATTCAAAAGAAGGGAAATGCCTATGTTTATATGCAAAGGTAAGAAGCTACTTCTAAAGAATTAAAATGACCAGGGTAAGATACAGTCCCCTGCCAGACACCACACACCGCACTAGACTTTTGCTGAATGCTCTGTGTTGCTAAGTGTGATGCTGTGCAGATTTTCTTAGTTAATTCCTTTCCCTTTAAGTGTATGATTTCACAATCTTTGCTGCAAACCTAAAAATGATGGCAAAAATGTCTATAGCAGAACTCAATTACAGCCATTTCAGTTAAATCAGTTAGATAGGTGATTTGTATTATAAAATGTATCTCTATTATATACTTTCTTTAAAATTAAAGATAGCTGCAGTATAGGGTGATATTGATGCAATAAAAATTAACTCTCATAATTTCAACCATTGTCTCCAGAAATAAGTACAATCATAAGTCCTTAAACATCAATTCTGCAGGGTCACGGTATAGGAAATAAATATGTTCTTCATGTTGAAAATACATACCAGATATTTCTAGAATGATTAAGAAATTCTCTACTGAACACTTTCTCCAAGGGGCCAGGAACTTTGACGTAACAATTGTTTCCTAAAACATTATCTTGACTTTTCAAAAAGGAAAGAAGTGATATTTTAAGAATGTATTTAATACTTTGCAGAAAAGACTGGGAGCTGTTTTTTTCACTTTCGAAATAACACATCCTTGGTATGTGGCATCCTTAATAATATACATAAGGCAAAACTAAAACTGGTGTAAAATATATAATTGGATATTTTCAGGTTTGTCTGTCACCTGTATTTTTCAGAGGAAGCTTCGGCCGTAGGTTTCTGAATCGTGTGCTAAGGAGAACACAGGGAGAATGAGATTGGTAAACCTTCTGTGTCGGCAGTGTACAAGCAGCACTCATCTGTAAACAAGCTCCTGATTCTCAACAGCACAAGGGAAAAAAAGAAAATCTTCCAAGTAGTGACAGGCTTTGTACCAGATCTTTGAACTTTTGGAGGCGCAATTTGCATAGAGCAGTAAAAAAGCACTTAACCCACGCCCCCAAAGTTTCAGAAAGGAGAAGGTCGAGTAGAGCAGGATTAAAACAGAAAAAAGAAATGGATGTGCTTGACAGATAATTATCGCCATAATGTCCTTCGAAATTGTGGACATTAGCTGTAATGTGAAAATGCAACTGCTGATTTGGTCCCAGATTTCCATATCTAGTATTTTTCTAATGACCAAAACCATCACTTTTAATCTACATTCTTATTCCCTTACAAATAAAATATATATATTCAAACATCTCTATTCCATATGTGTAGACTTCCTTATCTTGTAGATAATCTAGTCCAGCCAAGGTAAATACAAATTATTTGGTGATTAAGGATTAAAAGGCTTAAATGAAGTCAATGGGAGAATAGAGGATCAGTAATAATGAAAAGACTTTGACTTTATTTACATTCGCCTTAACGTAAGTTCATTGTATTTGCCTCTAATTTAAAAGATCAGCTTCCCCGTACTAGGCAACGTGTGCCGGAGCAGAAAAGTCACAGGGAACGAATCGGTGCTGCACTGTGGATCTTATTCCCCATTTCCTCTCTGACTCCCTCCTCCAGCTTGACAGCTCGTCCTACAGTTTAAGAAAGAAATCATCAGAGCCAGGTGAGTCCGTGGCCCTCATACCTATCAGGAACAGCCATTGACCTAACTGGGTCTTTTTCCAGACCAGAACAGCACTGGCACTGTCCCAGCATGTCCGAGGAGATGTGAGCAGCCAGCAACTGTCAGAGTGGGCAGATGGTCACACTCCCATGGGTCACTTCCTCATGGGGTCTCCTTACAGAACCAAAGAAATTGCTACCACCCACCATGGTCACCACAGCAGGTGGCCCCAGGGCACAAGATGGGAGCCTGGAGGCAGGTGGTAAATGTTTGACCCTTGTGGGCCTTCAGACTGGATGTGGAGGATCTGCTGCCCGGGCACGCGAGCCTCGGCCAGACACCAGGCAAGGGCACATGAGTGGGCTGGGGGGCACTCACCTGGAAAAGTTCCAGATCACCAGTGTTCCCCCCACCCCCAAACCTGCCCCCTCTACCCCCACTCATGTCCCTGAGCCCCCTCGTTCCCACACATGTGCCCCCATTGGTCCCCTGGGAGATCAAGCCTTTCAAAAAGAAAGAAGCAGCTCTTTCCCCAACAAGAGGGACTTGTGGCTAGTGCATGGGCTGCCAGGGCCCCGAGTCAGAAGAAGTCTCTCCTCAGGGTCAGCCCTAGGCTTTAGCCGGAGTAAGGGCAGAGTGGGCTTGGGGCACGAGCAGAGGATGGGAGGGGACCTTGGCATCCAGTGGAGCTGGGAAGAGGGCCTGGGTGAAGAGCTCCACGCACAACAACGTCCCGGCCGTCTGTTTGCTGAGACCCCTGCCCCCGATGTGTCGGCACTCGGTCCTGGCTTCCCTCTGAAGGCCTGCTCTGGCCGTATGCCCACCATACACCCCGATGCCACCTGGCTCAGCTCTGGGGCTGTGCAGTGCCCAGTGTGTGTGTGAGCTGCCATCTGTAACCAGCCCTCTCCATGGTACCATTCCTCTGCCAAGAGTAGGGCTACCCCGAGCAATGCAGGGAGAACATGTGCTTGGCCACGGAAAATAGGGGACAGTCAGTATAAGTGGCTTTTATCTCTTCAAACAACCAGAGAGAACATCAGACTCAAGACCAGAGTCCAACAGGCCAAAGCCGTCCTTTCCGACACCTGCCCACTGAGCGGGCTTCCCGGTTCAGGGCCAGATGCCCAGACCCACCCGACAGAACCCCTCCCCTCTCCTCTGCACACTTCTGCAGCAAGGTTCGCACAGCTCGGAATCAGCAGCCTGCACATCCTCAAGCAAAAAAGCAGCCAAGTTATCACCCATTAAAACACGTACTGGTAAGGGGAGAACTTTGTATCAACACTACCAAAGAGTTAAAAGGAAGAAAATTATCATTTTCAGGCTGAACTTTGCGGTGACATATGATCCACGATTTGCATCCAGACGAAATCTATTTATCATTTCTTCCACAGTAAAAATGCTCCAGGAATGTTCCTCCACGGTTTCCTTTACCTTGAGTTGAAGGGTAATTCTTTGACAATTAGCAATCTTTTCTTTCACATTGATTCAGCGATTCAACTTCTGCATAAGAATAAAGCCCCCACGCGCTGCAGCTCTGTCAGCAGGAGAAAGTCAGAAAGAACCTGTCACTTGTAGGGGGTTTTTGACAAAGTGTACAATGGGAGCCAAAAGAATCCTGGGTTTTTTTCCCCGCCAAATAAACGTGAAATAGATTTAAAAATCAGAACGTATTAAGGTGCTCATGATATTGAAAAGCACAGAACACTTACTGCAGTGGAGTAAAATATATACAATTAGAATCCTCATTTTGAAAGACTTCAGTGAAGTAATATTTGCTAGAGCTGAAACACATGGAGGCATTTCAGGAAAGCACAAAAACATGTGTTTGCGTAAACTAATTGGATAATGACATATGTTACCACAACTGTCAGCTTCCACTGTGCCTTTAAAAAGTTCCTTTTGTGAAGCATGTAATTTCATTGTTAAAACACCAAAACAACACACAAATACCTGATAGCCGGCATTTACCCTGGCACACATCCCTGCCACAGCTGTGTGCACACAAACACTCCTGCGCTTCTGTCCAGTTCCATTTTGCTCTCATTTCCGTAAGGGCAGGCTCACCATGCACTGATTCAGCTTCTCCGGACACTGTCAAAGTTTAGTCGTTTAGAATTGCACATCGTGGTACTCATTTCAATTTCTCCATTCCTCAGTTCTGGACCAAGGGCAGAGTTTGTAGAGCCCTTAGGCTAAGCCAGAAAGATACCCATTATCCCGCAGGAGCCTCACAGAAAAGGTTACCCGGAGAGAAGCCACCAGTGACACAGAAAGCACCGCCGTCCCCCTGACAATCGCAGTCCAGCCAGACTGACGCTTTCCTTCGTGACTGCTGTCATTGCCCACCTCATTCTGGACACTTCTCTGCTTTCAAAGGTGCGTTTTCTTTTCTTTCTTTTTTTGTCCACTGAACTGTGTTTAGAGCCAAGCAAATGGAACTTAAAACAGCAACCAAAAATGATTCCCAAAAGAGCGACTAGAGTATATTCCATGAGGAGCCTCATTTCATGTTTACAATCTCAGTAGACACGCTAAGCTGAATCATTCCTACAGCACTGTGTTGCATGGTAACAACAAATGACCTCATGGAAAAGTCCCCTTTTATCTGACTGGCCCGGACCCCAGCCCCGGGCTCTGGATCTGGGAAGACCCAGGCTCTTTCCATATGCCAACAAAAAGACTGGAATGGCACACGTTTTCGCAGTCACCAGAACACAACTTTTCACCAACTTGACATAGAGAACAAAAGTCCCTGTTGCCCAAGGAGCAGCGTCCAGTGTGCAGGCGGCAGTTCCAGCCCCCACCTGGATGCCAGCAGCCTGCTGCAACTGTGCAGCCAACTTCCAAGCTAAGTTCAGCAAACACAGATTTCGCCATCGTTCCCCCTCCAGGCCACACTATGCCCGGCACCAGCAGGTACCCCTGGGTCTCCAAGGACCCCACACACAGCCGTGAGGGCCAGGACAGCTCCTAGGACCAGCTGACATGACCACAAGGCTCCCCGGAAAGGTCCCGCGCGGGGAGAGGCACAGCGGCCGTCAGATCCACCTGCGAGCCAGGTTGCAGCCCCGCAGTCCAGACGCCGCTTCCCTGCACGCACCGTGTCCTGCTCTCTCCCTCTCCACCCTGCCCCCTAGACTGAGCAGAAAATCCACAGCAAGTTGTCCCCCCAACACTTTACCTGGTCCCAGCTGAGCCCACGACGCCGCCCCGCTGCTCCCGGGGCCCGGCCTGCTCACCTCCCAGCGCCGCGTCCCGTCGCCTGCTGGTGCCAGGCTGTGGAGCTGGCAGGTCCCGGAGCGACGAGCCTGCTCTTGTGAACACTGTGCAGCCGCGGCAGCCGTCGCAGTGATGAGCACAGCTTGAGCCCGTCCACAATTAGCCGAATATTGTATAGCAGCAACAAATCAACAACGAAACTCGGCGCGCAAATAAAGCCGACTGCGGTTTCCGAGGGATGCAGAAGGGCAGAGCCACCGAGTGCTTCATTTCTTCTTCAAGATCATTCCAGCCAGCTCCTTCTGCTATTTTTACTGTACCATAATGCACTAGGTCTGGCTTTTACCCTATTGAAAGAACATGAATATATTATTATCCACACAAAAGAGCAGGTTATTGTTTATGAATTACCAGCCTTCCCAGCAACAAAGGCTATTTTCATAAGAAAACTCAATTTCATTTTAGCTCCAATTTGATTACCAGCTGAAGAAAAGAAGCTCTGCTCCTAACCCTCAAAGGATTTTTATTCATACCATTGAATGGGCTTTATTGCTTCCTTTTCAAAACTGACGTAGAAAGCTTTTAGAGTAAAACATTGACAAAAAATTATTGCGCTGCTATTTTGTGCAATAACAGAGCTGAAGAGGGGCAATGATTTCTCAGTCATCCTTCACTGTACTCCGAATAGCGGAGGCTGGAATTAATGACAGACCAGGGAGAGGAGGCACGCTAAGGTCTCACAATGCACGTCAAATCTAAATGATCACTATACATTGAAAGGCCCCCAAAAAAGCCCACAGCTGATTGATTCACGGCTTTCACAAGAAAGACAGGCTTGAAGAGTTTATTGCACCACAATTTACTCGGAATTATCATAAAAATGAATGTAGAGGCTGAATGTCACCCCGGCACGCTCCAAAACCACACGCCCAGGGACAAAGTTCACCCAGGAGCTGCCGCTGCACACCCCACGCCGCGCCAAGAGCTGTCAGGGTGGCCGTCGTCGGGCTTGACTCGGGCTCTGTGGAGAATCTTTACCCCACACCAGAATAGGTTTTCATCTTCACAATTTTAAAGTGGAAAAAAAGTCTGTACCAGCAAACAATGGTCCAGGGGCCTGGAAGCGGACGTGCCTGCTCAGCACTGCGGTGCTGGGGGGACTCTGAGGGGACCCTGGTGGGCGTGTGCCCCTCGGCCTGCTTGTTCTCACTCCCCAAAGAAGTGAGAAGTTTGCGAGGACTGGAGTGCTCGCTCACAAGAATGGTTTAGGGGCAAATGTTTAAATGATACAGGTAGTTCTTGTTTAAATGACTTTCTCCACATGCACGGCACTTCTCCTTTCATTACAATTTCAGCAATAATGGCTAAGCTAGTGGGGTTGCCAAAGAAACCTGCACTTGCGATTATGCAAATAGAGCCTGCAGTATAATAACTTGGTGTTCCCAAGGCCCCCAGCCAATGGCCTGTTCACGTAGAAGCCTCAGGCGAGATCCGACGACTTTGGCCAACCAGTCTTGAAAGGCGTCTTAAAACCTGTCATCGGCCTAGGGACCCCTCTCCTCTCCTGCCTTACTCATCCAGCAGAGTCAGGATTTATAAGTGAAGAATTTGTGATCTTCAGCTTTTTGTTTAGTAAGCAATACTCATATTTAAAAACACACCAGAGAAAAGGTAAAACTCCCCCCGTTGGCCACTGCATTTTCAAAGGACTTGTTGAATTCAAACATCATCCATGTTTTCTCAGTTCTCTGTCAGAGTCAAGCAATCTGTCATCTCTCTCTCAGACAGGTTCTCAAGCACGGAGATTATGCTGGCTGTCTTCCGGAGAGGAGCTGGGTTGACAGAGGAGCCACGCGTCCTTCCCAGGTGATCACACACACCAGGAGAGGCTGGCCCAGCTCAACCCTGCCGCCTTGAACTCATCCCCAACCACCGGTCCTGTGGGGCTCCACCTAAAATCCGGGGCTTCTCACAGGAGATCCTCTGGGGTCTTGGGATTGCCACACGTGCCTTGAAGGTTTTCAGAATCATTGCTCTAAACTGCATGATTTAAAGGCACCTGAACGTGACTGTTTAGTAGAAAACAGGAAGATGTCAGCTGTAATAAATCCTTTTCCATGGCTCCCCTTGTCCTGGCCCCAGAGTGGCTATAATCTCGTAACCACTAGCACTGTATTTCCACAATGTCAAGGCTGATCGTTTATAAAAGCAAACTTCCATCAAGCATTCATGTGCTTACAGATATTTCAGTGCTGGGCATTGGGTTGACAACAAAAGACAAGTAACTCGTGCATATTTGGCCTTTCTTAGGGCTTCTGGTTTCTGTACACTCAGTCTGTTCATTAACAATATACAGTCAGTTGTAAAGTGAAACATCGATGGTGGTGACGTTCTAAAGTTACTGTGAATACTGAATTTGCAAGTACTGAGCCTTTGCTCCCAGAGAAATACATCTGGTCACAACAGTTTTGTCAATCAATTCATACATGACCTTGTTTAATGTTTGTTTCTATTTGGTAACACCTTATTCAATACGTATTGTGGAGTCGTTAACATTGAACTCACAGCCGGCAGCCTGCCTGAGTGGCTTCTCGAACACATGTGTTATCTCCATGAGGCAAGGCACAACCTTCTCGCACTTACGAATCCTAGACAGCACTTCGGCCCCGCGCTGATGGGCCATCTTACACAGTGAAATCACCAGCAAAAGCACAGAAATTTGAAAAACATGGCACTCGAGAGACTGCAAAAAGGATACCGTGCACAGAATGAGAGGAAGTCTCGGCATCTCCTTGCTCGATATCATCTGGGGATATGCACATCTGGTGACACTTTTTTTTTTTTTTTTTTGAGACAGAGTCTCACTCTGTCACCCAGGCTGGAGTGTAGTGGCGCGATCTTGACTCACTGAAACTTCCACCTCCCGGTTTCAAGCAATTCTCCTGCCTCAGCCTCCCTAGTAGCTGGGACTATAGGCGTGCACCACCATGCCTGGCTAATTTTTGTATTTTTTGGTAGAGACGGGTTTTGTCATGTTGGCCAGGCTGGTCTCAAACTCCTGACCCCAAGTGATCCACCCGCCTCGGCCTCCCAAAGTGCTGGGATGACAGGCGTGAGTCACTGTACCTGGCCTAGTGACACACGTTTTACCATTCTGAGCATGTATGCAAATGACCGCAAAAGCTCCAAGATTATTTATTTTGGGGGGTTACAAATTCTAGCAAGTAACAAAGCTGCTGTGGACTGAACTGCATCTTCCCCAGACTCATGTGTTGAAACCCTAACCCCAGCGTGACTGGATTCGGAAATGGGGTCTTGGGAGGTAACCGGGGTTAGATAAGGTCATGAGAGTGGGGTCCTGATCCAGTAGGTCTGTGACCCTGTAAGACAAGAAGAGAGGGGACTCTTTCTCCCTCTCTCCACCACGTGAGGACACGGTGAGCACATCTGTGAGCCAGGAGGAGGCCCCTCGCCAGGAACCGAACAGCTGGTACCCTCATCCTGGACTTCCAGCCTCTGCCACGGTGAGACATAAATATCAGCGGTTTAAGCCACCCAGTCTGCAGCATTGTGTTGTGACAACCCAAGCTGAGGAAGATAAAAGCTAAAAGTGGAACATCCATGAGGCACGCTCAATGACCGGCCAACACTGGTTGAGCACCTCCTGTTTACCAACTAGTATCTGCATAAGCTGGACTGGAGGTGACTGGAGAGTCCCAGAGCGCAGGCGGGATTCAAAGAGTGAGACCTGAGGAGTGCCCTGGAAGATGCTGGGCCTGTGTTTTGAGAGGCGATGACAGATGAGGCTACAGAATGGAGCAACAGCCAGAGGGAAAGAAGGGCAGCTCCTCGGCAGGGGCACAGGGCCGGGCCCAGCCTGAGCTCATCTGGGGGAGCTGGGAGACGAGGCCGCAGCCTGCATGACCACCTGGTGGTGGGACCTTTTCTCCAGATGTAGGTCTCGCACCCCTACCAGCACAGTCACCTGGTGGTTGATGAGAAATAGAAGCTTCTGGGCCTGTCCTGCGTGGTCAGCCTGGCATCCCTGTTGTGGGGTCCTGGGAACTTGCTTTTCTGATTCACCACCCAGCGACCCCTACAAAGTATGGGTGCTCTCAACCCTTAAGAGCCCTAACTCTGAGGGGCAAAATCATGTACAAAATAGATGCACACTTCCCAGTCCATGATTTTATGTTCAAAATAAATACAAAGGGCACACTGACCATGGAAGGGCACTTATCCTCCCAGCTGTGGCACAGTCCAGAAAGCCAAAAAGGATTTCAAAAGGAGATTGGGTGTTCATGTCAGACAGACCTGCAATTTGCTCAAGGGACAACCCAGCCTTTTTGCCAAACTGCGAACCCCTCAAAGCCAGGAGCACCTTTGTTCAGGACACCTGCCGCATCAGCAGCTGCTCAATAAAATACCTCCGTGAAATGGCTTACACTAGACATATTGGCTGGAGAACTCAGAAAGAGGAAATCCTGAGTGTTATATCATACGCTGACTGCAGCTGAATGCCAAGAAGGAAGGCAATTAAGGAAAACCATGGATTCAAATACTATAGGAGTTTGTTAACTTAAAGGAAAAAAAGGAAAAGATCTTTGGAATTGTGAGCCCTCGCTCCCATCTCCAAACAACGTAGAGCTTCTTTCCACCACAGTGAGTTGGTTCTCTTCCTGCCTCCTCATCCAGAAGCACATAAAATCCCTTTCAACCAAAGACCTCCCTGGCTTCCAGAATTTGAAAGCGAAGAAATAAACTCACTGTGCAACAAGAAAATACCTTCTCCCATAAGCAGCTTCCTTATCCTGTAAGCAGAACTATATAATTTGAGTTCCAGAAAGTTACATCTGATCTTCCAGAGTTTCAGAATATTCTGCCAGTCTTTGTCCTATAGGGAGAGTTGAGACCTCTGAAAATCAGAGCTTTGCAACAGATTATAACCAACAGGCCAGGGGAATGAAATAACCACAAAGCCCCCGTGATTCATCCCAAGTGGCTGCATCCCCCCTTGCTGACAAGCAGCGACATGCATGAGTGCCTTGATTAGAACATACCATAACAAACATCACTGTTTCCTCAGAGCCTCTACGCTAGCTTGGGAAGATACTTTCTGTAAGTCTGATGGTATCATAGATTCATTCAAGATTCACTAG